AAAAAAAAAAAAAAAAAAAAAAAAAAACAAACTTGTTTGTCAGCAATAAAAAAAGGTAATTTGCAGAGGACCAAGGAAATAAATGTACTTTTGTTATGCAGTTCACTTTTTGTTTGTGTGTTTTTTCTAGGCATTATAATTGCATACTATACTATTCCTCCTTGTGAATCCTCTCTAGTCACGGTCTCTACAGTTCTTTTTCTACGGTTTGTTCAATTTAAGACAGTGACATTAATTGCATATTGAAAGTACATATCATTAATTAATACTTTGGATACACACAAAAATTATAAGTTGAAAGCAAACAGCAAATGAGGGAAAAGGTTCAAGAAATTTTATCAATGTGTGCATGCCACATAAGCGGTGGGCATATTAACATGTTTCCACTGTGGGTAGGTGAACATTACTGATGTGCCCACGCCACTCTTTTAAGTAAGGCCCATTTAAAAAAAAAAGTTTCTTTCTTCATTGTTGGGAATTCGGCCCATATCCTAGGTCCAAGCCTCGGCCCATATCCTGTCTTGGCCTGCCCCTCCCATCTCTGGAGTTTGGACCGTCGGATTTGAGGATTATATCCACACCATCCATCTTGGCTGTTTAATAGCCTCTCATCTACACCCGCAGCTGAACCTCTCTCTCGAGTTTTTGTAGACTGAAAATCGACCGATGCTGAAAATTCTAACTACTGTGAACATTCATATGTACCGAATTCTTCAAACATTTATTTTTAGTTTTCATTTTAATGCAACGAGAGAGGTAAAGAAAAATAAATATTGATTGAGTTGATATGGTAAATCTATATATATTAAAAGCCAACCTATTTACCAAAAATAGTAGCAAAAAAAGTCAACACACATTTAATGCATACCTTATTTGGAAATTTTTTACTATATGCATTAAATGCTTGCATATTTACATTTATTATCCAGATATGATCTTAAAGATTTTTTCCTTAAATAATTTATGCAATGATTTTACTGATATCCATTATAATTAATATTTGTCGAGTAATATTTTTTAACCTTTATTTAATTATATAAAACTAATATTTTAAAAAAAAATAATATTATTTATCATTTAAAAGATAATGATACATCATTAAATGATTATATTGATGGTTAGATAATAAAATTATATTAGTTATTCTTTAAAAATTTTACTAAAATAAAAACCAGCTTAAGAAAAAAAAAAATTCATAACATCCGATAAGTCACAAAAAAAGTACGTAAAATCTTTACTAAAATAAAAAAAGACTTTATTTATTTGTCTTATTCCATAATAACATCGATTTAGTCAAAACAAATCCCATATTTAGTGAAGTCAAAAAATGTACGTCAAGCCTATTTATACTAAAAAAAAGGCAGATTCAAAATTCCTTATCTAATTTCTGTTTAAAGCATTTTATTTAATATTTATTTATATGAAATATTGGATAGGATTGCTAGATCTGAGTCAATTTTGAAATCGCGTTGTTTGGTATGAGAGGATTATTTGCATCCTATATATGTCTAAAGCATATCATTTTATATTATTTAATTAATTTATTTAATATTAAATTTTTTTATCCATGATATCAGTTTTGTCAAAAAAATTGAACAAACAAACAAATAAAAAAGAAACGGGATTAATTACCTTCGACTTGTAAAAAATTTATGGGTGGACGTAAATATTTAACAATGTTGTTTCAAGTTCCTTAAATAATACTATAACTATGATGTTGAAATATAATCTGTTTTATGAGTGGCGTAAATATGTTGTTTAAAGTTTCCTAAAATAATTTTTTAAAAATTATGTTGTTTATAGTACCTTAAATATTAATATATTTAAAGTATACACATGCTGTAATATATTAAAGTCAAAACAATGTTGGATGGCTTTTGAATTATCTAAGTTAATTAATTTAAATGTTTAATCCCATTAAATCTTCTATCCATAAAATATTTTTACTAATCCCGTGAGCATGTTGTTTTGTTATTGTAATCAACTTATACACTATTTTACTAATAAATTATTTAATATCTATGTACATGGAGGTCTTTAATAATATATGATTTTTTTTTTTGTCAGATACTATTTTATTGTATAATTTTTCTTGCGTACTATAAAACTTTTATTGAATATTGCATCTTATAATATAACATTCTCTAAATAAATATATCCCGTGTCTCGCACCGGTCCCGTACTATATATATCCCATAAATTTTTTAATTCATTTATATAATTATAAGGCTGAATAAATAACCTTAAAATTGTGCACCCCGTGCATCGCACGAGCTCTGTACTAGTATTTTTATAACCAAAGCCAATTTAAAATTTAATTAATTAATACAATTACCATATTCAATATGATTGAGAAGTGTGTGTGCGTGTGATAGAGATAAAGT